ATTAATATACGCGAAAAAAAATCCAGTTTATTCAATATTTACGGTGAACTTTCCTATTTCTTCAACCTTTTACAGTTCATTCAGACTGTACTTTTCCAGCCATTTTTTGCCAATTCCATGGAGTACAGTTATCAGTTGATAAAAAATACCAAAGGAGGTAAATAAAAGACAAACCACCATAATATAAACTGCTATCTGTTTAATAATAAATATTGTTGCTAAGCCTAAAAGGGCTGTTCTGCGCAATATTAGCCTTCAAATGTATTTATATCATCATTTATATACTCTACTTGAGTTTATAACTGGATTTCAAAAATTTTCTTATCATTTTATTATATAATAAGATTTTTTCGCATTATATTACATTTTAGTTTTTAATTATTCAAAATTTTTAATATGTTATTTTTGAATAAAAAATTGTTATTATTATTTATTATATCAGTTACTTTATCCTTTACAACTTTGCATGAAAAGTTAGCTTTTTTTTACTTACTAATTTTTAGTGCATTTATTCATATACTTTATATTATTACAACTAATAAAGTAAATGTTATTTGTAGCATAATTTACAGGGATTACCAAGCTAAAACTCTTGTTTCAGGATGAAGAAAAATAAGCGCTGTACCAAATAAGTGAAAAATAACTGCAATACTCCAAAACTTTTCCTCAAATTCATCATTGGCTTGAAATAAGCTTAAACTAGTAGACATAGTGTTATATTATCAAGTTAATACTAAATTTTATCATCTTTTATAAGAAATATATACCTAAAATTAGCATACATTAATTCAATTAATTTACATAGCTGAAAATTATGTATATTAAAATAATAATGTGTACGACGGATAATGAAAAAACACAAATTAGAATACAATTGATGCAGCTAAACATTTTGGGTAGAATGCTTAAACTTTACTTCATACATTATGTATATACTTTACACTTTACTAATACAATTAGTACATTTGAAAAATTCAAAAAATTATACTTGATTTTAATTTGACAAAGTATTATAATTAGTACTTTTGAGGGATAACTTTTATCAAACAATTGATTTTTATGATAATTTTAATGATGAAAAAGTAAATTATCTCAATTACTGGTTTACTAATAAAATTTTAATATTAAAAAAATGATCACTAAAAGTGATAAGTAATTAGTAAGCAGGAACAATGTCAAAACCAGGACGACAGTACATAATTTCCGCTCGTTTTCCTTCTGGAAACTGTAAAGTGGATACAGATGATTGTCTGGACAAGCTTTGTAAACCAGTGGCTTGGTGATAAGAAGCAGTATGAGGAATAGCCTCAGGTAATATTACTTCATCCATCGGATCTGACTCAAAACGCCTAAAATTAACTTTGCAAATAAGTTTGCACTTATTTGTCTACTACATTTTGTCATAAATTATAAATTATCAAATAAAACTGCTTTTATTATTTATTTATTTTCATATATTTTGAGTAAGTAAAAAAAA